AGTGTTGCCAGTCTCATAATTTTCTGCCACACCTTGTATATCCCCTTACAGCTGCTTTTAAGGGGCCCTCTAATGATTTTTTAACTGGTTGTAAATTTGCGCCGAAACGGACCTTATCGAACATAGGAACACGGAGAAAAGATGTGTTTCTGAAAATTCACATTATTTTGGGGGTTATAGGCGAATTAAAATTACAAAAAGAAGCAAAGCATTTTTTCTCCATGACACAGTAGGAAAAATTTAGTGATTAAAGGGTTTGAGCGAAGCGGATGGCCAATGGGCTGTGGGTTATGCTAATGGCTGCAGTGCCATTGACGTGCACGCGTTGTCGCCTCGTCGCTAAAGCAACTTGCATCGTCAAAGGTTCAGGCTCGGATTAAATCGGCATTGCCATTGTACCTGGGCCGTTTATACTTTGGCGTCGGTGAACCCAACGTGCGCCGGCGTTGATCGATGTTTGTCGTCCGCTTTGCCAAGCCCCGTCATAAAGTCTTAACGCGGTGGTGCCCTCCGTAGCTCTATCTCGCTAATACTCGCGGACAACTTTCTGGAGCCCTGCAGTCAAAGCAAGGGCACTCTTCACTTCCAAATAGCTGCAGAAAGTTGTCCGCAAGTATAGAGATTGAGTATTGATAATGTTTTGCCACCAACGTGGCCAAGCTGGGTCGTATGACTCTATGAGAGGTGGAACTTGAACAGCTGGAAGTGTATAACTGTCGTATCTCTCCTTTGTTGCAGAACTGTTGAGAGACCCTTCAGATGGGACGGCCGAGCGGGAAAGGCTCGGCTTGCAGGAAACAACAGAAGAGTGGTGCATCGACGACCAGAAGGAAACATTCGCGCGAGAATACCTGCAACCCATAGACCACAAGAGTCGTAGAAAGACTAAAACAGGACAGCGGTTCCCGTAATGGACCTTTTGCGAAGTTACCCGAGCGCTGAGGAGTATGTTGGGAACACGCGTAGCACGTGCAGCATGTGCGACCATGTTCGGAGCTTGCTCCTCGGTGCTCGAGTAAGGGCTGGCTTGCACATTTGCGTCTGGGTGTGATAGACTTTCATTGTAACCTCTTGTAGTTGCCTACGACTTTAGGAGACACTGACACCATCTTGTGGGTGGCCCCGGAACACTCCTGGTCGGGGTACAATGCAGAGCGCAAGTTCGTCTGCTTTTTGCACGGGGGTTGCAATGATGTCTCAACGCCGAGCTCTTATTGGCTGATTGAAAAAATAGGGAGTAGACCACAAGACATCTAGCATTGAGGTTTACCCGCTATTCTTTCAATAAAAGCCAATCGGAGCTCGGTGTCGTTGTGACGTCACCGCAACTCCTGCACAAGAAGCAGACGACTTGCTCTCCTTATTAGACTGAAGATTTTGCAGTATTTGCAACATCAATGCACTATGCATAAGACACCGTCGTTTAAAATGTCGGCGATGTTATTTCAGGCCCATGCTGAAAAGGTACTGCATAAAAAGATATATGCATGTTGGGGGGTTCCAAGACTTCCTGACAGACGGTACCAATGTTTTCTCGTAAGCAGTTGCAAAGAGTTGCAACGCAGTTGAATACACTCGAAAGCAAACATGTGAACCACGCTTAATTTTGCAAAAGGTCTATTGCTGCATCCATGCAAAATCAATTTCATTAGGACTAAAATGTAAAAAACAAAAAAAAACAAAAAAAAAAAAACATGTCTAGCGTAATTTTAATATGCTTGTGTCTTCATTGGTAAACTGGGTGAGAGCCACTGTTTTAGTTGTGTTGGTTGTTATGAAAGTTGTGTAGGAATGGTAATAACTTGTTACCGCGTGTGTCGGTTCTTATATTTGAAGCTTCCCTCGTGAACTGCTGGTGTGCCTCTAGCCATGCTTTGTTTGTGGTCTTATGTGCTAGACTGTTTTTGAGACTGTGTGGTGATGTGCTATGTTAATTGTTTAGATTCGTTAGTTTTTTTGTTTTTGTTTTACTGTGCAATGTCAAGCGTGGTTAGGCGTAATCAGGCAAAATCTGTTTATCTTTTGCTTTCCAGCCATGACTGAAGGAGTTAAAATTGAGTTGTTATCACAGTCACTGACATGGTGAGAATGGTAGGGAGGAGCTGCATAAGTTATTTTTTTCCCAAAAAGTTTTTAATTTTTGCGCCTCCAGTGCCAGCTTCCTACCTTTGAGGACGCTTTGTCTCGAGGGTCCATGTGCAGCCAAAGCTTGGCAGAAGGCGTGCTGGAGGCCAGGCGCTTTGAAGACGCACCACGCCATTCTCATTCTTTTAGTGGCTATGCTGTTTCTTATTTTCTGGATATGCTGAATGTCATCTGGTCAAGCTGTTAATACAGCTCTTCGCCCATAGTCATTTCCAGGATGTTTTCTGTAAAGATAGAATGTATTTAATTCAATTTAATTGAATCTTCGTTTTTAAAGATTAGCAGCCGGGGACAGACTGCACAGTTGTTGACCAGCATCCTTTTGAGCAGCTCATTGTACAGTCGTGGACCAAGTGGATGCCATTCATTGTTTTGCCAAACAAATGCTGTACATGTTTTTTTAGAGAATCTGGGTTTGGCTAGCTGCTCTTCGCAAAATTTGCGAAATATTGAGGCTTCAAATAGAATATATCTTGGTAATGTTTCTTTTTTGTCCTTTTTTTTTTATTAGGGTGTTACAAAGGTGTGGTTCCTCCTGAGCATTAAGGCCACTTCACACACGCGACTGGAGAGGCTAGAAGACTGGTTTTAAGCTTCTCGTGACTTTTTACAACCGGGTGCTCTGCTGCACAGCTGTTTTTAAGCACTTGCGAGGGGCCTAAAAACCAATTGTGGCGCAGTCGGTCCTAGCAAAACGCAAGTGTGCGAACCAATGTTTATGCCGTGTTTCACTCTCAAGTCCGACCGCAGCTGATGCTACGTACAATGTGGCCAATCAAGCACTGCCAAAAGCACAATGTCATGGCGGCCATCGTCTTCGGGCAGTTACCAAGGGCAACTAAACGAATGCTGCACAGTGAAGGCACCGTGATCCTGCGCTTTTTCTGCGCGTGATTGGTTCAGCTGGCGACGGCAGACGCACAACGACGACAAGCGCCGTGATGATGCACTTTTGGCGCCGCTTGAGTCGGCCCAATCTGAACGTAGCGTCAGACTTCGGTCGGGCTTCAAGTGGAGCTAAGTAATAAACCATTCTTAACATCCTCCTTGCCTCAGTAAAACCTGAAAAGGAGGACAAACATCTCATTGGGCTTTAGTATCTCGCATAACAACAGTCTCGCATGCCTAGTAACTTTCCCCGTTCGTCACGCAGGCGGGGGAGAGACGCCGTACGCCAAGGCGGCGGGGGTCTTCAGGTGCGGCGAGTGCGAAGGCATGTTTTACTCCCGCAACCACCTGGACAGGCACCGCAGGATGGCGCATCGGAAGATGGTGTACCGCAAGGCGGTGCACCACAAGGCGGAGGGACGGCACCAGTGCCGCCACTGCCCCTTCTCCAGCGACCGCGCGGACGGCGTGGTGGCGCATGAGCGGACCCACACGGGCGAGACGCCCTTTGTCTGCTCCACGTGCGGCAAGGGCTTCACCCAGCAGGGCCACCTGGCCAGGCACCGCCGGGTGCACACGGGCGAGCGTCCGTACGTGTGTTCCGAGTGCGGCAAAGGGTTCACCCAGAACCATGTCCTCATTAGGCACGTGCGGACGCACTCGGGTGCCAGACTGCACTCGTGCCTTCTGTGCGGGTTCAGGGGCGGCGACGCTAACAGCGTGAGGAAGCACGTGATTGCGATGCACTCCAAGGAGTACCCCCACACGTGCGAACGCTGTGGCAAGGGGTTCATTTTCCCGTATGAGCTCAGGGCCCACCTGGCCAGGAAGCACGCCGGCGGAGATCGACAGTAGGGAACGTGCTCTTGCAAATTTTTACTAGAGGTGTACGAGTAATGAAATTTCGGATCATATGGAATATTGTCGAATGGCCACCAGAAATAAATGTTGAATTGCATATTGAATACCAAAACGTTTACTATACAACAGGCTCCTCCATCCTTTCCTCTTAGCACAGAAAACACCCGAGAGGGGACCAGACGAAACAAGGAGGGACTCGCCCCCTCTCTGGCGTTTGCTCTGCTAAGTAGAAAGGGTGAAGGGCTTGGCGGGAACAGCCTGTCCTGGTTTTCTTAGCCTGCAACAGGGTATAGTAGCGCACAAAAAGTAAAAAGAAAAATTAGACTAAGAAAAAAATGCAGCTATGTGTTTACTCTATAACAAAATATGCGGAAAGAAAACCGCTTTTGATTAGCACGAACAAAAACGGTGTTTGTGACTGTCGCACCGGAAAGTTAGAGACGCAGCTAAATAATGTGACCACCCATCCATGGGTGGATACGCAGAGTACGAAGTAAATGGTCGAATACAGCTGATTCGTCGCAATCGGGCGACGTCTTGCACCGTTTATCCGCTGCACCTCGCTTGATGCCGCGGAAGGCGCCATTAGCGGACGAGACTGTTTCAAGTATAGATTTTTGTATTTGGCAATTAAATGTCATATTAGAACCACTCCCTGCATATGCTACTTAACAGCAAGTCACATTGGAGGAAAGTTTGTCCTTTGGCGACAGATGTATCGGCCCTTAACAAGCACATGTTTTTAGTGCACAAGAGATGGCGGCAGGTGACATGAGATATTTGAATTCGAGGACGGCATATGTGGTTTACGGTTTTTCATGGTTTCCTCTTTAGGACTACAGGATACAAGCTATTTTCCATCATATATTTAGTCAGTTAAGGCCTGTTGATGCGTATCTTGAATTCAATTTAGCGGAGACCTGTGCAAGCTATGTCGTCAGATGGACAGCGTTTCTAAATAGATCAGGATTTTTCTCAGAAGAAAATTCAGTCTCAAGTTATTTGAAGTATCAAATACTATAAATTAGAAAGTATAATCGAATTGTTCAGTAAATGAGTATTTGATTCCAATTTGAAACTTGAATATCGCTACTTTTAATGTAAACTTAGGCTGGTTTGACTATGCCACCTGGGGGAGGAGGGGACACAATATTTATCAGGCATATTGCTTCATTCTATTGCTTTATATTGCATCACGTTTACAACTACTGCAAAATTATTTTCTTCCCCAAGAGCTTGAAATTTTTCTGTCGAAGTCGACCAACACTGTTCAAACTTATAGCTTTGTCTAACATCGCCACATACTCTAAGGTTTGCTGAACCAGTCAAACCTCAAGGTTTGAGAAAAGCTTTTGAAATGCTTAGTAAAAAAGGACTAGCTTTGGTCTGGATTTGATTTTAGCTACTGCCAGGTTTTCAAGGCTGCCGTTGTGTGGCGGCGGACGGTTGTGCTCATGATGCTGAAAAGTGCCTCGAAGGAAATGTGTTGCTGGAGAGTTTGTGAATAAATTCCTTTGCCATTACCTCGTTTTCAATGGCAGAGCCGTGTATACAGAGAGTTTGGTCAATGGGAGGCGCGGGCAGAGCCAGGGCGTGCGTCAGACTTGGAAAGAGGGCTTGGCATGCTCTCTTGACCAACCAAAAGCCGAAAAGGATCCCCTAGCGGTGGTAACGAAAAACAGTCTGATCAAAGGTATATGTTCGTAAATGGTTTTAATAAGCGCATCACAGTGAAGTGTTGTAACTCTTCGTGGTTGAAAATATGGTGCACGTCTTGTTTTGATCATGATCATGCAGAAAGATGTAAGAAACGAATGCGCCGCTCAACTCTGTTTTGCTCGGGCAGAGTGTGACCGCTCGGACAGCAGATTCCCGGCTCTCGGCGCTTGGTGTACGAATTATGTCGATCGATCTGCTTTTCGCACTCTTCCACCATCATTTTGGATGAGTGTGATTGGAACATCACATGTACCATATTTTCAGTCAGTGAGAGTTACTCTGATGCAGTTATCAGGTTTGTTTCTCGCGACCACCGCCAGGGTATTATTTCCGGCTTCTGGTTGGTCACATTTGAATTTCTGAAGACGCCCTGGAACACGCCCAGCCCACTTTCGGCCCAGTGGCGCCTCCTCATTTGTCTCTATACACCCCAACGAATGGCCAAACTCTACATATACGGCTCTGTTCAATGGTGGTGCATCCACGCATACGTTTGTGTATATATAAGATAATTAACTTTTAATGCGAAAGCATCAACTATCCCATGGAGCAAAACTAGCAATGTCTGTAACAGCAAAAAAAAAAAAAAAAAAAAAAAAAGAAGCAAAAGAAATGTCTTTTTTTTATGGACTGAGCAAAAGGGCTCCTAAATAGCCATTGGCGGTCGCTTCACGAGAGCGCGCGCTCGTCCGGCGCTCTCGTGCTTAGCAGGGAATTACAAATGAGCGGGAAAAACAGGTGCCGCGCGCTGATTCATATCGGAATAGCCCAAAACGCTGTGACTTTGACCTATGCCAAGCCGCACGTCACAGCGTGCGCGCAAGTTGCCATGGAAACTGCCGTGGCGTCCGTTTTTTGTCGCTCGTGTGTTCCCTGCTAGGCCTGTCCAAACAGGCTACTACTAAAATTGTCGGGCCACACGACTCCTGCAAAAATCGTGAAAATTGAAGCGTCTGGGAGTCGTCGGTCGTATGTCTGTTTGGACACCAGCCAAGCCAAATTTACGACTTTCCTCCTCGCCTCCCCCACTTTTCTTTGACGTCGATGCTCGTCAGACTTGACGTCATACGCCACCTGCCAATGGTGTGCCTGATGCCTCTCTCCCGCGGCTCACCCCCCGACTACCGGACGCTTCAATTTTGACGATTTTTGCAGGAGTCGTGTGGCCTGCCGATTTTTATAGAGGCCTGTTTGGACAGGGCTTTAGGCGTTGCCGAAGAGATGGGAAGGGGGCTGGGCTGGGCTCGCCGGCCGCAACTTCGGTAGTAAAGAAACGTGGCCGTCGACGCCAGTGCGCATGCCTTGCATGTGACGTCATATGACACTATACCGGCCGCCATTGCTCCGTACCACGCTCCTGTGCCCGTACCTTCTGCAGCATACATTTCGCGAAATCGCCTTGCGGAGAAGAGATTCAGTGGTGCCGGATTCAGTGGTGCTGCATTAGAGCAGAGTAGCGCAATCTAGAACGCCATGTCGACGACCAGCGGCGAACGCCCGAGGGTTCCAACTCCGGTCGTCACAAATGCATGGGGAACGTGAGAAAATCGTTTCTTGAATATTTTGAGGATATACGGAACGACATTAGTTTCTGACATAATAAAGGAACAGTTTACAATAATTTGTGCTAGGTTGTGTGCCATGTAAGAACGTGATTATTTATTATTATTTTTTAAAGTGGCTGACCGGCATCATGGCAGCAGACGACGCAATGACGCCACACCGTTCACATAGTCGTCTGCTTCAAACCCCATTGCCCTGGAAATTGCCTTCTCAAAATTTTTACGCGCATCCAATATTATGAAAACTTTGATAAAGTGTCGAGTGCTTTACCAACTTCACGACAGACTAGTTTCGAAAAGTGTGAGCTCGGCGTTTATTTTTTGATCATCCGTGTGGCGTCGATCTTCATGTGTTCTCCCATTAAGCGGACGCCTTCTGGAACTCTGAGTACCACGTGACTCGCACCGAGCTGCTCTGTCGGCCATGTCAGCAAAACACGCGTATCAAAGGATTGCGTGCGTTACTTTGCTCCGTAGGAGCTATTAGCCCCGAGAAGTTCGCGTGGCGCCCCCTTACGGCAAACCGGGGTGACGTCACGCGAGGAGAGAATTTTTTCCCCGACTCGCCCCACTCGCCCTGTGGAGGCTGTGACAACGCTAGCTGTCGGCGCGCTCGTTTCTATTTAATTTTTTTAGCGTGTTTTTCGTTGGAAGTGTAAATTTTTATATGTTCCTTTATTGACGTATGGCCTGTAGCTACAGGCGAAACTTCAACCAACATTTTAAGCGTGGTTGATAGGGCAGGCAACGCATGAATCGCAGCTGGTATATGAAAATAAAGAAATATGGCCACAATTGCAGGAGCATCACTATAGATTTACATTTCGCACAATAAATGCTGCTGATGGTCTGAATGAATTGGCAGGTTATGTATACTATTTTTTTGTATATGTTTTTAAACAAGATCGCCGAAGCAGAAAAGCTGCATGCTGCTCGAGCAACGTGCTAAATACAGTCTGGGCCATGGGGAGAGAATCACAAGTAAGACAGCCCAAGTGCAGGGGCAAAGTAAAAAAACAAGGAACATTTATTATATACATTGCTCGCATTTGACCTTTGCTGGATTCGGATAGTATTTCAATGGACTACAGGGTGGTATCTGCGGACTTGTTTATATCACCCCTCAAGTAATGCATCACAAACGTAAACGAAGGTGTCTAGCTCGTTATTAGTCCCTTAAGCCCTAAAATTGAGATTTTACTTAAATCGGATTGTCCTGCAGCTAAAATACCCGAAGCTATTCTCACCCAGACTGTCGCCCTTCAGAGGTTCCACATTTTCTGCTACTGGTGCTGCATTTAGCACTGGACAGACGTTCGAATGCTTGCTTTTACTCCTGTTTTCCTCTGTTGTCAAAGAGTCCAGCTGTAGGGAGTTTGGAGGCTGAGGAAGCTTTTGGAGACCTGCAGCAGTGCCTCTTTTAATTGGAAATGACAATTCAGACTAAACGGTGTATTTTCCGAATACCCAAGGCTGGAATAAAAATGTAAAAAAAAAAAGTATAAACATTCCAAATTACGGCACTATTGCTGTGCATATTTTGGGCAGTTCAATACATATACAGACAACTGGGGGCAATTCGGCCGTTTCTGCAGCTAAAATACAAACTAATTTCCAGTAATTGAGCATCTAAGAAATATGCCTACATACTTTTATAAACTATATAATTAATTCACGAAGAAGCTACATTTATTTAAAACAACCCTGTTCCATGAGCACTTCAAAGATAATCAAACACAGGGCCTTTAAAACATCTGCGAACCAGCGCATGCAGAGTGGCAGCGCAAAGTCGGGGTCGCGAGCTAATTTGCCGACCACCCAAAGGCCCATGATATAAATGCCACTTCAAATGCCTTGAAAGCGGGATGCAATATCGTCCTAAATCATGAACACGCAAGGAACAGAATTCCAGCATCTGAAACACTTGCGCCACCGCTTCACCGATCCCTCGCAAAATTGCCTTGCGTCGTGTGGACGGACGGGGAGGTTCATTGGCGGAATTGCCTCCGCCGATAGCTTTTGGGATTTGTAACCCAATTTTAAAGGTAAAAGGGACAAGCAGGCTTATAAAATGTACGGAAGCACATCAATATCGGCCTAACTCAACGTCTTGTACACCGGGTAAACGAAGTCCAGCTCCTCGAAGAGCTTGCGGCACACAACGCCAAACCAGGAAACCGGTGCTGGGAAGCGAGCCGATGCGAGATCGTGGAGCGGAGTCCTCCGCCTGACGTCACGGTACACCTCACCCGATCAGGGCGCGGCGACCGCAGTGACGCTTGTGTTTGCTCTCGGGGCTCACCCGCCGGCAATATGAAGGTGAACACCTTACCTGGTTTCTTGCCTGTTTTACGGTTCCCTAAAGCTATATTAACTCTCAACGTCTCAAAGGGTAGTGGCTTGGGGGTCTACACTTTGCGTTCTAGCCCTCTTCTGGAACAGAGCTTGTTCCAAAACTTACAGGAGCGTCAAAAGCAAGAAGTGGGCTGTTCACCTTCATATCGCTCATGGGTACGGCCGGTGGAACATGGTACATAGCAATGGCTGCGGACGTGACGTCAATGACGAAATAAGGGAGCGGAAGAACGACGTTCATGCTTTCGCATTCACAACTCGTAAGAAGTGCTTAGGTGTCCTTGGAATTTTTAAAAATTAAACATATCTTTTTCTTTATCTTTGAGGAAGAGGGTGAGAATTGGGCGAATGCCGTCTTCACCATGTCATAATCTCGTTATGTTCGGTGGACATTAGATGAACGTCGGGTAAGCTGACTTGACTAGTGAACTCATATTTGTTAGGTAATGCCAGAACTGCAGTATTAAATGCAATGACTTAAAGGCCAGACCAA